TGGCAGACTGGGCCTTTAGGAGGATTGTGTCCCCAAGGTGGTGGCTGTGTGCTGTTGCTTACATAAGTTGTGTGAGATTACAGGTGAATGAGACACAGCTCCTGCATGTGCAGTTTGAACAGCCAGCTGCTCGGGCTGCTAGAGGTGGCCATCAGTATCAGGGAGGCTCTAAAAAATCACTTTGACAATGAGGGGCACTGACTTTTCTATGTGTTCCTGCCTCAGCCCACTGCTCATCCTGATTGAGGCATTCCCATGAAATCAAGAGATATTACAGAGGGATTGGTATGGATTGTGCCAGGCAAAATAAACTCATAGAAATCTGCATCACATTTGTCTTTATTGATCCCTTTCAATCAGATGGATAGCACCTTCCAGCTGATGGTTGCAAAGTGCTTTGTAGACATTAGTTGACTCAGTCCCCTTGCTCCCCCTCACAAGGCCATAGCTTCTCCCCAACATGTGCGACCCATACCCACTAGGTGTGTGGGTTACATACCACACACCTAGTGGGTGTGGGTCACACATGCACTGCCATGCCCAGACTTTTCAAGGTTTATTCCTTTAAAAGTGTATCAAATGAACAGAAAACAGTCTGAACTCCGTCCTTAGCCCCAGGCTTCAGGGCTACCTCTCCCACCCGTCTCTGGCATTAGAGCTCCTGGAAGCTTCCTAGCCTCAGCCAACTCAAGTCCTCTCCTGGAGCAGTAGCCACAGGGCTACTTCCCTGAGCATGTGGTTCTTGCTCCAGGGTCCCCCCAGAAGCTAGCTCCACTCCTATATGACTTTCCTTCCCCAGAGCTCAGCCTGTCTCAGTCCTCCCTTCTCAGCTGCCTACCAGCAATCCTTAGAGGTCCATGTATAGCCCAGCCCTCTTGAATTAGTTGGATTGGGCTCACCTGCTCCAGTCCAGGGATGCTGGGTTCAGGCTAGCCACAGGGAGCAGCTATCTGGTAACATAGCACCCCTTTCCAGGAGAAAAAAAATATTATTTTTCCTTCTTGTGAGGTATCCCTGTGACTACTCTCACTTCTCTCCATACAAAAATGCCTTTCCATCTTGACATGCTGCAACATCAGTCATTACAAGCCTTCAGGGCCTACAGTCTTTCTTAAACAAACCAAAACATTTTTCTCAGTGGTTTAACTTAATACCAGCATTCCCCTTGAGTCCTGCCCAGTCATGGAATGTTCTGAGACCAAAGGGCTGTAGACAAGTCTCCCCAGTCACAAACTCCTGGTCCCAGTCACACTGAGCTTTATGTGATGGGGCCAAGGTCACATATCCAGGCTCACTACATCACCTTAGCTCCATATCTTGGACTTTGGGGTCACTGCATGCCTAGACTTTTCTGTCTCTGCACACAGAATCTTTCCTCCAGTCCCAATGGTATGAAGCATAAGGTACAGAGGTCCTCTTTCCTCCTCAGTGAATTGGACATGTGTGGCTAGTTGTTCTTTCTGGAACTTGAGGTCCTGCAATTTGCTTTTCAATTATTTCAGTCGTTCTGTGAGCTCATTGGCCATTGATGTGGCTTTGTTTTATGGCCAGCTCCCCCTTTCTCTTTCACTGCTCTGGAGTCCTGTTTCCCACCCAATTCCTCTACATGAGCCTCTGCTTGTTGGAACATTGGACGAGATTTTGAAACAAGTTGATAAACTTAACAGTAACAAGTCACTGGGACCAGATGACATTCACCCAAGAGTTCTGAAAGAACTCAAATATGAAATTGAGATACTAATAATTGTGGTTTGTAAGCTATCCTTTAAATCAGCTTCCATACTTAATGATTGGAAGACAGCTAACGTGATGCTAATATTTAAAAAGGGCTCTAGAGGAGATCCTGGCAATTACAGACAGGTAAGTCTAACAACAGAGGGTATTAAACAAACAGAAAAATCCATCCTTGACCCCAGGCTTCAGGGTCACCCCTCCCAGAGGTCTCTGGCATTCTAGTTCCTGGCAGCTTCCTAGCCACAGCTGGCCCTACCACAGAAGCTAGCTCTACCTCCTTGTGGTTTTCCTTCCCCAATGCCCAGCTTATCTTAGTCCTTCCTTCCCAGCTGCCCAATAGCAGAGATGAAAGTAAGTGGGTGCATCCTGGTGCACCGTTCTGGCAAAAGCTGGCTGAGCTGCAGCAAAGCCAGCAGGGAGCTATTTAAAGAGCTGGCAAGGGACCTGAAATGCAGTAGGACAGTACTTGTAAGAAATTTTAAGTTACTTTCACTGCTGCCCACTAGCAGGCCTCTTCTAGGCCCAGCAGTAGCTTAACATTCTTTAAATAGCTGGATTAAGCTCACCTGCTCCAGTCCAGGGGAGCTGGGCTCAGTCTATTCACAGGGACCTGCTAGCCTTTGAACTAGGTACATAAGCTGTGTCTAGATTGGCATGATTTTCCGGAAATGCTTTTAACAGAAAAGTTTTCCGTTAAAAGCATTTTCAGAACAGAGTGTCTAGATTGGCGTGGACGCTTTTCCGCAAAAGCACTTTTTGCGGAAAAGCGTCCATGCCAATCTAGACGTGCTTTTCCGCAAAAAAGCCCCGATCGCCATTTTCGTGATCGGGGCTTTTTTGCGGAAAACAAATCTGAGCTGTCTACACTGGCCCTTTTGCGCAAAGGGACTTTTGCCTGAACGGGAGCAGCATAGTATTTCCGCAAGAAACACTGATTTCTTACAGTAGGAAGTCAGTGCTTTTGCGGAAATTCAAGCGGCCAGTGTAGACAGCTGGCAAGTTTTTCCGGAAAAGTGGCTGATTTTCCGGAAAAACTGGCCAGTCTAGACACAGCCATAGTGTTTGATTTGTTTAAAGAGTCTGTAACAGAGCTAGGATTGGAACCCGCATCTTCTGAGTCCAGTCTTACACTTTTAACTCAAGAACAAAAGGACCTTGTGACCGAAAGGTTTTGATTGAATGGATGCAGGGATTCAGCTCAGACTGTAAAAGATGGGAGCAAGAATCCTGCCAATTTTTTTGTAAAAAACAAAAAACAAACAAAAAAACGTGGCTTGTGAATTAAAAGATGTTAATATTTCTTTCCTCCCCTTACTTGGGCATGTTAAAGGTTGAATATTTCTTTTATGATTATTTATGGTGTAAAGCTATTTCTCAGCCTGGTTTGTAGTCTTAGAAGATCTTGGGTGAAATTCTGACTGTTGTAATGGCAAAACTCCATTAACTTCAATGCACCTTTTAACGCCTAACCCTCCCCACTCCCATACTGCCTGGTCCTGATTCTCCATTATGTTGTACCTTGCAATTTAAATACACTTTGCATGGGTGTAAATGACTACAAAACCTCAGGGCATTGAATCCCCTGGATGGCCATTTCACCAGACTTGCTGCAAATAGTCTTTGAACTCATGTAGCTTTATTACTTTCATTCTGAAAAGATTTTAAGTAAGAAACAAACATTCGTAGTGCACTTGAGGAAAGATACAGACAACTCTAGTAGAGAATTATATATTTATTTGAACAGTATTGCTCTGTAACAGGTCAGGCATGCAAAGGGGCTACACAAAAATGGGTTCACAAGGCTTATTTTCTCTGGAAATGTCCAAACACATGTTTCTACATGACAGTTCTCCAGCTACATAACAATACAATCAAATAAAATCTGTAGTTTGTTCTGCTAGCATGTCCTGACACATCTCTGTCCCCATACAATGCCAGTAAAGCAACCTTTCTGCAGAGAAGGTAAGACTTTTATCACCAGTCTTTCAAGCCATTGCTCTGATGCTATAAGACCTTCTATAGACAATCGATTGCTGCTGAAGGTTACATGTACATCATTCCACTACCAGCTAGCTCATAAAGTTGGCAATATAGCAGGCAGTGTAACTATTTACAAAACTAACTAACCTGACATGTAAGTTAAAATGTCTCTATTTACAGTTGCTCTCAGCTATTTACATTTAGAGCTTACATTTCCTGTGATAGTAAATGCACTTTTTCACTAGACAGTTGTACACCACAACACTTTAAGTAACATAGAACCTCAGACATTACAAAAGTTCCTGAATGATGTAAAAATGAGAGTTGTTATAAAACAAACATAATGGAGCATTAGCGATGTAGCAATTTTTTTTGTAGTTGGCCATAAAACTGCAGGAATCAAGCACAAGCATGATGCATGCCAAAGTTTTTGTTCATCACAGCTGGGTTAAGGATGGTCTTACACAGACAGTTTCCCATTTAGTTCTTATTTACTTTTCAAGTTTTGCTCGTTTCTCATAATGCTGCTTTGATTTCTTTTTCTCTGCCCATTAGGTTTCAGATTTCTGACTGTATGTTTTGAAAGTCCACCTAACCTAAGCCTGTAATTAACATACCTGGTTTGGGGCCCAGACCTGTCATCTGATACTCCTTACCTCAATAGTAGTAACTTGTGCATAGTGAGGTCAGGGCTGGCCTTACCATGAGGCGAACTGAGGCAGCCACCATGAGAGGAGTAGAACAGGAAGAAGGCAGAATTGAAACCTTTCAAAGTTTTGGCCCTAGCGAAGGGACATGAGGGCATCATTTGAGCTCCCTGCCTCAGGTGCCAAAATGTTGTGGACTGGCCCCGAGTGAGGTCATGCAAGTTAGCAAAATTTCCACAACTCCCCTGCCTAAATCAGTGCATCCTTATTTCCTTCAACAGCAGTAAATTGAGATGTATTGCAGGAGACAACAGGGCTACATCTACACTGGCGCGTTCTCACACAAAAACTCTTTTGCGGAAGAGTTCTTCTGTAAAAACTCTTCCAAAAGAGAGCGTCTACACTGGCATGTGCTTTTCCACAAGAGATGTGCTTTTGCGCAAGAGCATCCATGCCAGTGTAGACGCTCTCTTGCGCAAGAAATTCTTGTTGCCTGTCTACACTGGCCTCTTACGCAAGAACAGTTGTGCAAGAAGGCTTATTCCTGAGCGGGAGCATCAGAGTTCTGGCGCAAGAAGCCCTGATTTCATACATTAGAATGTCGGTTTACTTGTGCAAGAACACGCGGCCAGTGTAGACAAGCAGCAAGTTTTTGCGCAAGAGTGGCGGCTTTTGCGCAAGATCACACCAGTGTAGATACAGCCCTAGATGTAAGGGGAGAATATTGATGCTCTATAGGTCGCCCCTAAAATATGCCCTCTCTGAGCATATCAAGTTCTTGTAGCTTACGATAGGAGTAACTGGGTCTTTGCGGTCACTTCTAATGGACAGGCGCTTGGGAAAAGTGCTGACGTTGTACGGCTACATGTAATACTGTAATTCCCTATGTAAATATGTAAATTTTAATGTTATAAAGATATCGTAAAGATACAGGGCCAGATGCACTCTTGCTAGTCCTTTACTTAGTTACGTGCAATTTACATCTTACAAGTGGGAACTTTAAACGGAAAAGCAGGTTCCTGTAATATACACATCTCCCAGATCAAGACAGTGTTGTTTTAGCTCTGTGGGGAACTTCTAACTCCTCCTGTGTACCTTGTGAAATGAGGGAAGAGTGATTCATGCTCTAAGTAGGAGTGATGAAGAATAGACCCTACTGTGGGTTAGGTGAGGACTTGGAGAAGTAGTTATGGTTCAGTGCAACACAGAACGGATAGAAAGAAGAGAACTGTGTTAGAACTCTATGAGAGTTCATTCTGCAGTGTATTATGTAATGAGAGATGAAGTATAGTAGTTGACCTGAGCAATGCAAGATGGAATGATAACACAGCAATTTACCTTGCACAAATTTTTCAAATAAGCAACTGAAGGTGGGCCAGTCATTTAGTAAAAATCTCCTTTAAAATGTTAGAAACTGAACCTACCAAAAGAAGCCCATAGCACCATCCCTTCTGATGGAAAAATTTCTTGCAGGGCAAGAGTGGAAGAAGAAAACGCCTTTGGAGAGCTGGCCTCATGTTTTCTCTAAATTATGCTATGGGAAGGCGGTATTCGCCTTCTTGCTTCTCTCAGGCACCAAGTCAGGGTTCCAATTCTACCCCCTACAATGCTAGCTTCTGTAAGGTTGCCTCTATGGAAGCTGCACTGTCATGGTTTGTTTCACCACTGGCTGACTGAACAACCCACCCCCTGAGAGCAGATCTAAAGGTTAGAAGGAATCTACTGAACAATACAGTTGTAGACTGTCTATGTGTATACACTATATATACGCACATATATGTATAGTACATCCTCAGTGGGGCTTGAGGCCAGGAACAATACACATCCTTAATCCTTTCTCTTGCCTGCCCCTGCCTTCTTCACTCCCCAAACATGTATCTACAAGCCCACCCTCCATGTATGCAGGGATTGCTTGGAGAGAGAAACAAAGACCTTGCCATAGATGCAATTGACCCTCTGTTTTCCTTTCTTTTCAGTGCAGCAAGGAGAGTCTCTAGTACTATAGAATGTGTAAAAATGCCCAAAATCAAATCTCTGTCCCATTCACACCAAACCCCTCTTAGAAGCTCCATCACTGAAAGTGTCTGGTGCAATACACACTTCATGCTAGGTGAGCGCTGATCTCCCTGTTCTGGCCTCTCCCACAGCAAGAAGTGTATCACCTTTTACAATGACTCCCACCATTGGCTTCTTAGCACTAGAATCACAGCAGGGCTTTTCTCTACCATCAGTAGCAAACTTCAAAACTTTCAGCTTGCAGGATCAGGCTCTCTGAGTATTCAGTTAAGGGAGTATTCAGCATACACAGAGGATCTTTAAAAACTCATTAAGTTTCATGGGAGGGCTATCCAATTTTTAAAAGGAATTGCATTTTGTTTACTTTTTTTTCATTCAGCCTGAAAAATATCCCTGATCTGGAAGTTGAGAGGAAAAATATTCTATTGAGTGGGTTGCTATTTTAAAGTTGCTAGTTTCCTAGGTGCTTTCATACATAGTTTTATCACCAGATAACACAATTCAGCCATATTGAGCAGCATACAGATCCCAGACACAGAAAGCATGAAAATCGTAAACATAGTTTTCTCAGTGGGTCGAGAAACAAAGCAATCCACTGTGTTGGGGCAAGGCCACGCACTACATTTCAGTAAGCGAGGCATTTGGTATCCATCATACATGACGTAAAACACATACATGAAGACAGCTTCAAAGACCATTCTGAAGAAGATGCTGCAGGTGTAAGTCCACCATAAGGGGCCCTGAATATGAACCTTTTGTTTATTCAGTTCTTCAATATCCACTTTGTGACCACTTGTGAGCTGCCTTTTCTTCTCGTGTCTTCTGTGTGCAATGTGCATGGCCACGAGAAGTGCAGGAGTCGAGACAAAGATGAGCTGAAGGGCCCACAGTCTAATGTGAGAGATGGGGAAGAAGTGGTCGTAGCAAACATTTTTGCATCCAGGTTGCAGAGTGTTGCAAACAAAATCATTTTGTTCATCTCCCCAGACTTTCTCTGCAGCCACCACAAGGATCATAACACGGAAAATGAAGAGGACAGTGAGCCAGATCTTCCCAATACTGGTGGAGTGTTTGTTTACACCTCCTAAAACCTTCTGCAATGTTCCCCAGTCCATCTTCTCTTCTGTATCCTTTGACCTAATAAGACAAGAGGAATACATCATAGGACCAATGATCAAGGGTTAGAAAATCAATAATAGAACTTCCGTGAACTGGGGAGGTTGGGGGGAGAGTTCCCGGCATTAGCACAGCATTGCAAATAATGAGACTGACAGGTAGATGCAATTAATTTTAATGTGTACTGTCTGTATATTAAAAAAATGATGGAATCACATGTTTTATTAAAGCTGTAATTATATTGATTTCTGATGGTGCTAACATTTCTACAGGAGCTGTTGGTTAAGACATGGTTAGGTCATCAAATAAGTGATCCCTCTTTTCTCACCTATGTCTTTTGATCTTTCTCAAAGCTCTCCATCTCTGTGGGAAAGTCCAGCAGTGGTTTGCGGCTTCTCTCTGAACCCTCCTCCATCCTAGAGTCAGGGAGAGGAAGGCTGGCATTGCAGGATAACCCCTACCTGGAGCAATGTTTTAAGCTCCTGAAGGGGCCAGGAGCATATGGCTGACCCTGCCTACATGCATCATCACCACTATCTCCATCTACACACTGGATACAGATGTTAGAGAAAGTAGATGTTATGCTAAAAATAATCAGCTAAACAGCTAGGTGGTGTCTAGACTGCATCCCTTTTCTGTAAAAGGGATGCAAATTAGACATATCGCAATTGCAAATGAAGTGGGGATTTAAATCTCCCCCGCTTCATTAGCATAAAAATGGCTGCCGCTTTTTTCCAGCACGGAGCTTTGCTGGAAACAAGCGCCAGTCTAGACGCAGATCTTTCGGAAAATAAAGCCTTTTAAATGAGGGATAAGGGATCTTTCAGAAAAGGCTTTATTTTCCGAAAGATCCACGTCTAGACTGGCGCTTTTTTCCATCAAAGCTCCGAGCCGGAAAAAAGCGGCAGCCATTTTTATGCTAATGAAGCGGGGGAGATTTAAATCCCCACTTCATTTGCAATTGCGATATGTCTAATTTGCATCCCTTTTACGGAAAAGGGATGCAGTCTAGACACAGCCCTAATGTTCACATCTGATGTGTAACTAGGCCGTAGCTACACTACCACTTATGATGGCAAAACTCATGTTGGTCAGGGTGTGCACAGCGCTATGTCTGTGGGGGAGTGTCTTTCCCCGATATTGCCGACATTGCTACTGCTGCTCATGTAGGTGGCTTTATTGCATCATCTCTTGTGTGTAGCCCCTGATTGCTTTTTCAGTGGGTCAGCAGCTCCTGACCCCAAGAAAGGTTCCCCACCTCTGTTCTAGGCAGCCAGAGAACAGGGATAGGGAGAGGCAGGTGGGTGGACATTAAGACCCAGTGATGCCCACATTTTCAGGTGCCCTATGCAGCAGCTGGGTATTCTGCATAGGGCCCCATAAATCCTAAAGATGGCCCTCTGCCATTGGCATAGAGAGGTTACTCAAGCAATCTTATAGCAGTGTAGCTGCATCAGTACAGCTATGCCGCTCTAGGTTCACTAGTGCAGATGTGGCCTTAGTCTTCAGCATTAACACCAAATGAGAAAATTAAGGTTGGTCTTCACTAGAAAATTTGGTCAGCTTAACATTCAGGGATGTGGAAAATCCACACCTAAGTGGCACAGTCAAGCCAACTTAACCCCCAGTGTAGACAGCATTAGATTTATGGAAGAATTTTTTTCAGCCTAGCTACCGCCTCTCAGGAAAGTGGCTGATGTACACTGACAGAAGAATGCCTACACAGTGTACGTGGTGTCTACACTGAAGCACGGGAGCAGCTGCCACATTTTAAGTGTAGACAAGTTCTGGGAGTAAGACAAACCTCTCATTAGTGCTGTCTCTCTAGAGCACAGTAAATATTACACTAATTCCCATTTGAATAGTTTTCTTCACAACCAGTGTAGAAAGTATTTTCATTTTAAAATGAAAGAGCAAATTCTGCTGATGCTGGAATCGCACCTTGAAACACGGGTCTTTCACTGAACACAGCTGTTGGAAATTGTTGATGAACTAGACAAAGTCCTTTGAAACAGCAGTTAAAACTCTGGCAGCACTGGTTCTTCATTCTTAAGATATAATGCTAAATTCTGTTGTATGGGAGACCCAAAAGCTGGCCCTGGATACAACCTGTAGGAAGGTGATAACATCCATTTCCTGGGGAGGAAGGATCATGCATTGTGTTTGTCCTGTAATACCCTGCAAGTATTGGGCTTTTCTGTTGCAAGGAAGATGAATGTCTATATTAAAGACCTGTCTACACAGACAAGTCTACTGTACTCAAGGATCACATAACAGTGTACTCCCTGAACATATTCTAAAATGGTTTATTGTCGTCTACACAGGCACGACCAAGTGGTATGCCAACAAAGAGAATTAGCATGTTAAAAGAAACACAGTCCCTTGATTTAGAACGGGTAGGGGACCTTTTTCCTTGTTGGGGACCACTGACCCACAAACAAATCAGCTGGGGGCTGCACACAAGTGAGAAGCAAAGAAAAAAACCTAAACCCTCACTGATAGGGCCAACTGAGAAAGAGAAAAACACTCCCCACATTCCGCTCACACACCAGAGTCTGGGGAGGCATGCTTGTAGATTCTGTGTGCTCTAGCCCTGCGGTGGGCTGGGGGAAGGGAGCTGGAGTTGCAGTGCAGGCTAACCAATGCTAGGCGGCAGCCCTGAGCCTTGGGGGCCAGATTCAGGCAAGCAGGGGGCCACATCTGGCCCCTGGGCCTTAGGTTCCCCACCCCTGATTTAGAAGATTTCCTTGTGTGAAAAGGCCTTAAAACAGAGGGGGCTATCCATGATGTATTACTGTGATAAGGGAAGGAGAAATTGAATGATAAAGAGAAAAGGCAGCCTGGAAAAGATAGCTGAAATTCTTTAGCATTCCGCTGGTCTCTCACTACACAAGTTGGTCACATTCTGAATTGCCTACTGTGATGATTTATTCCCTTGACCATGTATGATCAGATGCTACATATTTCTGCTAACAACCTACTCTCATTAATCACATAAGAAACAGCATTTAAAAAATAACCTGGACTAGTCAGAACTGACTGTAAGTAGAAAAGAACTGCAAATATTTGATGTGCTATCACACATCTCACTTTAAAATTGCCTGAAGATCTCTGTGTAAGTTCTGTGTAAATTTAAAAGCTTGTCTCTTTCGGAAAAAAGATATTATCCCACCCACCTCCTTTCTTTAAAATTGCCAATGTGATATGCAAGATGAGCTCTGAGGAAGAGCAAATTAGCATTTCTGGACAATGTGCCTTCTACCCTCTTTCCATCTATATGCAGAATTTTTCCATTCATGTGCAGAATAAATGTATTTATATGCAGAGACATGTGGGAATGTATACCACACAAACCTAGCTGTGGACTCTGCTAATCAGGAAGGTAGCACTGAAATCTCTCCTGAGCTGCGCACAAGCACACAGCTTACAGGAAACACTAACTGCGATTTGAGACCACTTGTACCTGTAGAGATTTTGGACACGAAGCACTTTTCATTTCCATAAGAACACAGTAGCATTTA